TTCCCACCAACAATGGATGAGTGTTCCCCTCATTCCACATCCTCTCCAGCATAGGCTATCATTGGTGTTTTTGAGTTTGGCTATTCTGACAGGTGTAAGATGATATCCCAAAGTTGTTTTGATTTGCATTTCCCTGATCGCTAAGGAGGTTGAGCATGACCTTAAGTGCTTTTTATCCCTTCGAAGTTCATCTGTTGTGAATTTTCTGTTCAGTTCAGTACCCCATTTTTTAATTGGGTTAATTAGAGTTTTAGTGTCTAGTTTCTTGAGTTCTTTGTATATTTTGGAGATCAGACCTTTATCTGTTGAAGGGTTTGTGAAGATCTTTTCCCAGTCAGAAGGTAGCCTTTTTTTTTTTAAATTTATTTATTTACTTATTATGTATACAATATTCTGTCTGTAGACCAGAAGAGGGCACCAGACCCCATTACAGATGTTTGTGAGCCACCATGTGGTTGCTGGGAATTGAACTCAGGACCTTTGGAAGAGCAGGCAATGCTCTTAACCGCTGAGCCATCTCTCCAGCCCCAGAAGGTAGCCTTTTTGTCTTACTGACAGTGTCCTTTGCTTTACAGAAGCTTCTCAGTTTCAGTAGGTCCCATTTATTTATTGTTTCTCTTATTGTCTGCGCTCCTGGGGTTCTGCTTAGGAAGTGGTCTCCTGTGCCTATATCTTGTAGACTACTTCCCACTTTCTCTTCTATCAGGTTCAAAGTGGTCGGATTAATGTTGATGTCTTTTATCCATTTGGACCTGAGTTTTGTGCATGGTGATAGATATGGATCTATTTTCATTCTTCTACAGGTTGACATCCAGTTATGCCAGCACCATTTGTTAAAGATGCTATCTTTCTTCCATTGTATAGCTTTAGCTCCCTTGTCAAAAATCAGGTGTTCATAAGTTTGTGGGTTAATACCAGGGTCTTCTATTCGATTCCATAGGTCTACTTCTCTGTTGTTATGCCAATACCAAGCTGTTTTCAATACTGTTGCTCTGTAATAGAGTTTGAAGTCAGGGATGGTAATGCCTCCAGAGGTTCCTTTATTGTATAAGATTGTTTTGGCTCTCCTGGGTTTTTTGTTTTGCCATATAAACTTGATTATTGTTCTCTCAAGGTCTGTGAAGAAGTTTGATGGGATTTTGATGGGGATTGCATTGAATCTATAGACTGCTTTTGGTAGAATTGCCATTTTTACTATGTTGATTCTCCCAATCCAAGAGCAGGGAAGGTCTTTCCATTTTCTGGTATCCTCCTCAATTTCTTTCTTCAAAGACTTAAAGTTCTTGTCAAATAGGTCTTTCACTTCCTTGGTTAGAGTTACCCCAAGATATTTTATGCTATTTGTGGCTATCATGAAAGGTGATGTTTCTCTGATTTCCCTCTCTGCCTCTTTATCCTTTGTGTATAGGAGGGCTACTGATTTTTTGGAGTTGATCTTGTATCCTGCCACATTACTAAAGGTGTTTATCAACTGTAGGAGTTCTTTGGTAGAGTTTTTGGGGTCGCTGATGTACACTATCATATTGTCTGCAAATAACAAAAGTTTAACTTCATCTTTTCCAATTCAAATCCCCTTGATCCCCTTATGTTGTCTTATTGCTATTGCTAGAACTTCAAGCACTATATTGAAGAGGAATGGTAAGAGTGGACAGCCTTGTCGTGTTCCTGATTTTAGTGGAATGGCTTTGAGTTTCTCTCCATTCAGTTTGATGTTAACTGTCGACTAACATTTCTAACACTAACATTTCTTCAATCTTTTTGTTATCCTTCTCATCCAGTTCTTTAAGGGAGTTATTCATATCCTGTTTAAGGGACTCTATTGCTTTCATAAGGGCATTTTTTCCCACTTCTTCTGAATTAAGAGGTTCAAGTCCTTCTATTGTAGGGTCATTGGGTTCTGGTGTTTTCATGTTGCTTTTTAGATTGTTGGAGGAGTTCTTGCCTTGGCTTCTGCCCATCTCTTCCTTCAAATGCTCTCTACTGGATCTTCCAGTACCAGGTCAGGTTCCCTTGTTGGGCAGGGAATTCACTGACAGAAGGCCTACCTTTCCTCAGGCAGTCTATTGAAACACAGGCACTCCCTACTACTGGGTTGCACTCACAACCCAGGCCCAGCAAGCAAGGGAGTTGCTCTGGGGAGATCTTGTGGCCCCAGAGGGAAGGGGGGAAGAGAGGAAGGTGTACCTGGATAAAGGCTGGGATGGGATTCAGGAGAGCTCTGCAGGGAGGAGTCGCCTCTGCCTGGTGACCAGATTGTCGAGGGGGGC